TTCCAGAACTCTGGGGGGATCCTGCGAGGCAATTGGGTGCCACCACAAGGCGGTCAACAGCAGCATGCCCACTGCACAGCAGTTTTGCCACAGTGGTGGACCTCGCCCTTGAGCATGGTGGAAAAAGCAGTTTGACAGCTTAATTGCATACATTCAAGGGCCTGCTGTGCGTTTCCAGCCTGCATACCGTAGTTGGTGTGCAGCACAAGTACTCAGGAGCGCAAGGCCGTTGACAGGAGCTCTAACGCTGGCTCAGCCCCAGATTTCGACCCTTTTACGAGCCTCCTGATGATTTTGAGCGGTGACACGAAGAGACAGCATCGAGCGGGCAGCGACCGTGATGAGTCAAGAGATCTCCCGCCAGTAATCCTTTGACATGTGCTCCGCTGCAGCGTCTGTAGTTGCACAAGCGCTGTAGATTCTTCTGACTACTACACCTGTTGGCACTGCTAGACACCATGATCGTCCCGCTGAAAACAAGTTCAATGAGTAGCCGCGCGGCCCTCATCAGCCAAGCATGCGTGACAGGCCGCGCTTGTACGTGTCATGTGCGCGTGAGGGCGACAGCTGGAGCTGCCACAGCGGCTATGAGCGGCACCGTGCCAGCACATGCTGTGTCGCGCTGCGGCGCCGCCGCCGCGCGCCGCCCCGCGGCCTTCACCTGCCGCGCCTCGCCGCTCGACAAGATCCGCGACGCGCTGCTGGGTGGCGGGCGCACCGCGGAGGCCGAGCCGGCTGACTTGGAAGACGAGGAGGATCTGGGGGAGATGGCATCCCTGGATGGCATGGACACCCCCGCCGGCACAGAGGACGTCTTTGGACCCACGGCAAGCCCCGACCCGCCCCGTCGCCGCAGGCAACGGCGCGCGCGCGAGCGGCATCACCTGCGCAGGTTCTGCCCACATGCCCACGCTGCGCTTTCGGCGCCCAGCAGCCGCAGATCGGGCTCTGTGCCGGCTTCTGACCCGCACCGTTATCCCAATCAGCCACGCCCCAAGAGGGTGCCCAACCGTCTGCTCTTCCCAACACGCAGGCCGCCCTCCTGGTCGGCTTCATGCACGACGAGGTGGAGCACTTCCGCGCCGTGCTCGATGACATGGGCGCAGACATGGTGGCCGTCATCCCCGCCAGCCCGTCCATGATGGGCGGGACGCTGCAGAGCGCGCTCGAGGCGGGCCCGGTGGCCTACCAGCAGGTCGGTCACATGCAGAGCCGAGCGCGTCGTTCATGCACACGCTTTGTCACCCCCTCTGTCTGTCATCCCCTCTATTAGCAAGCCGGCTAGCTGGGCTGGGCAGGGATAAGAACAGCTCGTAGGTCGAGCTCGCCGCTCCTGCACCTCACAAGTGCGCGCCTTGTGTAACCCGCTGCCCCCCCCCCTCGCTGTTCTTGTCGGCAGCCGGCCCTGGGGCAGCGGCGCGCAGTGGTGCTCTCTGGAATGTACACTTCTGAGGTGTTGGAGGTCATCTCTGGGTACAAGGATGCTGGTGAGGCCACCAAGACGCCGAATGTCTCAAAGTCGAATTGATTGGGCCGGGCGACCGCAGCAGGCATGTTGCCGGCAGGCAGGGTATGCGTCGGCACAGAAGGACCCGTAGGCCGAGCGGCCGCAGGCTCCCTGCTTTGGGCAGCAGCTGCCGTTGAACGCGTGCATCCTGCAACCCGTGGCTTGCTAATGCCGTGACTTTTCATGCCACCCCGCACCGCCCTCTGCAGGGTTGCCGCCCACCGTGTTTGCGGCCGCAGTGCCCAAGAACTTTGAGAGCCAGCTGTCAGACGTGGTCGAGTCTTGCTGGTGCGCAGGGGGTGATTCAGGGAGCCAGCTGCGGGCAAGGCAGCGATTGTGTTGGGGATGGCTGCGAGTGCATCGCGCTGGGGCCTGAGGATTTTGGCGGCCTGCACCTGCGTTGTTGGCGCACTCGCTGACATCACCCCCGGGACTGCGGCCCCACTTGCAGGAAGGACCAGATGGTGGCGCAGCAGAGGGTGAGTGCGCCAACGGGTGGGCGAGCGTCGGCCTGCAGGGCGCGGTCTCGAGCAAGCCTCGGGGTGACGGCGTTGCCGCTGATCTGCAGCCCAGAGATTGTCATTTGTGCTGGTCAACACACTGCCTGCCGCCCCCTGCATGGACAGGCAGCCCTGGGCAAGCTGGGCGAGAGCATCGAAGAAGCGTAGCTGCCCCCTGCGCGGACGACAAGAAGCACAAGCGGAGCCGTCAAGTGCTGCAGGAGATTTTAAGAAGTGCTGAGAGGCATTCCTTTCGCCGCACCTGTGTGTGAACGAACGCCAGCCCGGCTTCAACCCGTGATGTGTCGGCGCTGCAGAGTGCCAATTGTTCCCGCCCCGTCCACCTTGCCTGACGGCATGTTTGCGATGTGTGTGAGAGACTCGTTTGTATATCAAAACTGGTGTCGGCATTTTTGACAGCACCATGGCGCCCTTGCCTGCCCATTCTACTGCCGCCGCCCTGTGATTTGCGCGCCTGTGCGATGCTGCAGTTGGCTGGAATGCCACGTCAACCTGCAAGGATGTAAGAACCTATGGCTTGAACTTGGGCGGTCGCAGTTGGAGACAAGCAGAGGGATAGCAAAGGTCGACCCGCTGCTGGGCAGCCTTTTCGTGTCAGCGGCCTGCCAGGCTCTGTGTTGGCGGAGGAATATGACCGTCACACATGTCACAGGCTCCTGCAGGCAGAAGCACCGGCGAATCGCTTCACAAAACATTACATTCGATCAACACTGTGGAGGCATTTCACTGGCACACTTGAACAACCTGGTGTGTCATTGCCGGATACCTGTGGCTATTTTCCTGTGCAACGTGCAACAAGAACATTGAATGCGTTGCAGCAAACATGGGGAAGTACAGTGGCCGGGTTCTCTCTGTGGCAACCTTGCGGATTATAATGAGATTGAGACACAGTAAAAGGAAGCGCCAATCGCAAAAATGATACCCGCGACGCATCAGCATGTCTGCTGCCCGCTGCTGCGCCCGCAGGCTGGAAACACAGTGACACACACACACACACACACACACACACACACACACACACTTACTCATACACACACGCACACACTACTGGGTAACAAGGGGGTCAGTCGCTCGCGCCGCCGTCCTCCGCGTCCTTCACTTTGACCTTCTCACCCCTCAGGGCCGACAGGAACTGCGACCTGAACTTCCGACTGAACGCCGCCAGGTACGGCCACCCCAGCAGCAGCTTCCCCCTGGCCGCCTCGCTGTACGTGGTGAGCGAGAAGTTCTTCGCGAACAGCGCCGTCACCGCCGCCCAGGACGCGGCGAGCGCGACCGCGGTGAGGAGGAGGGCGCTGGAGAGGCCGTCCGCAGGGGCGGCGGCGACAGAGGCAGGGGCCACAGCGGTCATCGGGCCGCTGCGTATCTCGATGCTTTCGTAGTACCTGTGATAAATTTGAAAAGGACGGAGGAAGGATGTGGGCCAACAGCAGTGAGGACGTGCTGACTGTGCAGGGGTCGCAGCGATAGCACTGCCTGAACCCGAGTCACAGAGGGCGCAGACTGCGAGCACGCCGCCAGCCCCATCCCAAGCAAGCCCCATCCCACCCCATCTTCCCCACCCGCGCTGGGCTACCTGTCCCGCCCCTGGCCCTTGACAGCCGACCGCATGCCCAGGCGGCCGCCACCCACCTGTAGCTGCTGTAGCTGCGCGCCTCCGAGCGCTCCACCCTGACGCTGGGCACCTGCTGCTGCGCCTCGCGCACCGCACGCGCCACCTCCTCGTCCACCCGCTGCATGTCGCGCTGAAGGTCCAGGAGAGAGCGGTCCATGGCCCTGGAGGCACGGCGCGTGTGGCGTCGGGGCCACGTTTAGGGCCGGCGCGATGACGGACAGCGGCGCTGTGCGCGCGACACTGCAGGCCAACGTTCGACGGCTCTTGCCATGAGTGGCTTGATCCTTCATGCATCTGATGTCATGATGCAACATGTGCTGATACAGACTGCGTGAACTACATTTCCATGCATGCAGATTCAACCGCATGGATCCCTGTAGCCCCCAAGAGGCTTGCCCTCGTTTGAGTGGTGCCCTGCTGATGCCGCCGCGCTGCCTGCCGCGCACCTGTCCATCTCCCGGAAGGCATTGTCCATGTCACGGTCCATCTGGCGCGTTAGGTCGGCCATCTGTCTGTCCATGGCTGCAAACTGGCTGTCGAATTGGTCGAAGGGCGACGCCATGAGCCGCAACGACACCGGCGGCGGCAGCGCGGCCGCGGCGGGGCAGCGCTGGCGCCGTGATGCTGTGCGGGGGGCAAAGACGGGGACGTGCGCTTGCCCCGGCCATCGCGCCTGGGGGCAAGACAGCGGAGCTTGATCAGGACTTGAAAGGGAGGCTGCTGGAGGGGCACAATCGCGCTCGATGTTGCAGAAGCGGTCTGCGGTGCAGCATGGCGACTGTGCCGCACCTGGATGCCTTGCATGGGGCACGACCGCATCGCCCGCTCCAAAGCGGCCATCTAGCACACCGAGTTCTGCACTAGGCGATCCGGGAAGGGAGGGCTGGGGCGCTGCGGTCCGAGTGTGCCAAACCTCTTCAGAACACTCGAGACGCGTCACGCACGCATGGATGCCGTTGAGAATTGATTCGAGTTGAGCGTGATGACGGCCAGTACATTGGCAGGCAGTGCATAGGACCAAGTGGGCCTGAACAGCGGAAGCCGCAAGGGTTGGCACCGTCACTTGTTGGTGCGGGTGTCCCTGGCACCTGTGAATGAGCCTGCTCAAGTGCGCAAGGGCCTGCGCCATTGACATATGTGACTTAGATTTGTGACCAAAAGGCAAGAGCAGTCGTACTCCAGCACTTGCCCACCCAGCACAAATGGTAGGTCATCCACCTGATGACCATTGTCCTTCAACTCTTCCAAAGCACTCCCGACCAAAAGCGGCACGAGCCGATTTCAAACCCTGCACGCTGCCTGTGCTGAGCAAAACTCTCGTGCTGGACAGCTGCACATATGCCAACCAATCGTGACAGTGCGCCTCGAACAGTGTCAGCCGCCACAGCTGCCTCGCCTGTTGCTGCGTCTGTCCAACGGAACACGCAATCATGGGGCATTTGGATTCAAGTACCCCCAAAAATGCAACTAGAAGCACTACTTACATATTTCCTGACTCCTGTCAGACACCGGACTGCTCTTGCCATCGCATCAGTTGCTGCACCGGGCACGCGCGCAAAAGGCCGCTTTTTGAGCTGCCCGAGGCATCCCTAACAGTATATGAAGGAAACTATTTCAAATTTAGCAACACGCAATCGACTTCCTTCCGCTCATCCTTACCATCAGTGCTAGTCAGCTGAAACCGCACCTGCCACTTCACGTAGCTGAGACATCGATGGCGTGCCGCGTGATCACCGCTGTGATTCTACTTGTGAGCCTGTGCTTCGGCGTCAACGCCTATCCAACTCTCTGGCGCGACAAGCAAGGCAGCTGCAGTGCTCACCCCACCTCAAAGCAGCACCTCCACGGGGCGCCCGTCGAGGATACGTGAGTAATTGACGCGATAATCTATCCACTGTGCGTGCTCTGCGCTGGTGTTGACGCGGTGCGCCGTTTGGACCGAGCCTGCATCTCACGCCGCATTGCGGCGCGTGGTGCGAGCGCAGGGCCACTACCTTTGTGGTGCGGGACGGTAAAGGTAGCGCCGTGAGGTCCCTGTGCCCCGGGCAGACTTACACCGTCTCGGTGAGGCCCGACCGCACGTTGACCAGCGCGTTTGACCGCCGCGCACGCCCATGCTGCTGCATGCCAAATCGCGCCGCGCGCATGCGAGGCACGTGGAATTGCCCGTCTGCGGGCCGATTCCCTGCGCGCGAGGAGGGGGACCAGCTGCATACAAGACGCGCTGCAACCTTCCCAGCATTTGGGGCCCCTCATTCTCCAACATTGACAGCCAAGGGCCGCGCCCCTTCTCTCAGGTCGCGTTCCCCGAGGCCCGCCTGTCCCTGACGACCGCCAACGTGGGCACCCTCGTGGCTGCCACTGGCGCTGATGTCGACAACGCCTGGTGGGCAGGAGCCCATGCGATCGCGGAGAACTGCGGGCAGTGCGGCGTTTGCTCTGCGACGACGTACTTGTTTGTCGCCCCTCGCGACCTCTCCACCTGGCCTGCGGTGCGCGCAGTTCCCAAGCTATGGAAGGCACCAGCAGAGACCGGCCACCTTCCACTCCACCCAGTTTCCGCCCGCCGCACACGCCGCCCCCATCCGCACCACATCATTTTGCAGCCCGAACCGCGTGGTGGCACAGCAGACCTCCATTGCGGCTGTCAACACACTGACGTGGGACGTGCCCTGCTTCCCCTCTAGTGAGCCACCACAAGGGATGGGATGGCCGCGTGATGGGCCTGACAAGGGGTGCGGTGTTGACCAGAGAAGCGGGACCTAGCCTGCAGCGCAGCGTGAGCCCTCTGATTGACCCTGCGGCCGCCCACCCAGCGACCCTGTCACAACCGGTTCCACCACCCAGGCACCAGCGGGATCCTGAAGGTCACCAGTGCTGCGGGCGAGCGCTACCCCTTCCAGTCCTCTGGCCTCACCATCCCTATCGACAGCAACTGCGCCGCCGCCGCCTGCAGCAAGGCCGCGTCCACCACCACAGTGGCCAAGGCGGCCGACGCCAATGTCAACGGCGCGGGTGGCACCGCAGCGGGCGCCGCGGCGCTGGCTCTCGCCGGCCTGGCGGCGATGGTGCTGTGAGTCTAGCGCGCTCGATCTCTTGCAATCTCATCGGATGACGTTCTCACCGCACATGGGACGGTTACTTTAGCGCTGCAGCCAGCCCGGGGCCCCCGAGGGTGCCAGTGCCTATTTTTCTGCGCCGCTGCTTTGCAGCGGTGCTGCGCATGTCATGACACAAAACGACTGCAAACGCCTTCCTTGTTTCATTCTGCCTTCTTTCCAAACCCTTTTGCACGCAAGCGCTGGAGAGCGCAAGCCCATGGACCTGTGTTCCTCCGCTCACTGCATGCCTGTGCATTGCAGTGTAACACAGGCGGCGCAGACACAGCCGCCACAGGGCGAGTAAGAGCTGGGGCCACACAGTGCATAAATCGACAAAAGGACAACCTCTGCAGCCTGGACAGCATTTGCATCCCTCAGCGCGACGATAAAGTTTGAAACCGGCAAGGAACCCGCGCCGTGCCGTGTCTGTGGGGCCCGCGCCGGAAAGCTGTGCCTGTCACCGTCAGCCCGCTGCCGCCTGCTGCCGCCCGTCGCCGCCTTCGCTACAGCGCCAGCAGCCGCGTCCGAGAGCGCCACAGGCCCACCTCACGCGCCCTCCAGGACGCTCCTCAGCAGCGCGTTGCCCCTCGCCCCCGCCTCCAGCCCCGCCACCAGCTCCGCCGCCGCCGCCGCGCCGCCCGCGCCGCGCAGCTTCTCGGGCGGCAGCGCAGCAAAGTCCGACAGGAAGCGCCGCGCCGCCGCCGCCGCCGCCGCCTTGAGCGCCCCCTGGTCGCCGCCGCTGGGCGCCGCGTCCGTATCCATATCCTCCGCCTGCCCATCCGCCCCCGCCTCTGCTGCCTCATCGGACTCCCGCTTGCGCTTGGCGCCGCCGCCGCCGCCACCGCCGCCGCCTGCGGCGGCTGCGCCCTCGAGCTCCTCGAGCTTGCGGCGCGCGGCTGCGACGACGGAGGGCGGGAACGCGGCGCTCTCTGCGACGTGGATGCCAAAGGACTGGTCGCAGGCGCCCTGGCGGATCTCGTAGAGCATGGTCAGCTTGCCTGGGGGTTTGTCGGGAGACGGTGGGGCACATGTTGGAGTTTGTCAGACTGGGTGTTGATTTGATGACCCCCTGCTGCCTGTGCTGACAGGGCCATTCCGTGCTGACGAGGCCGTGAAACACTCCCCAGGTTCTAGGGCCAGCGGGGCACCCAACAGACCGTATCTGCAACCACCGCGTGCGCAGGCACGCGCCCCGCGGCATGTGCGTGCTCCCTCCCTTGACCCCCACGCGTCGTGCGCGCCTGTGTCAGGCTCGATGCGCGTCCCGACGTGCAGGTTTGCGACACCCCCCGGCCCCGTGATGTCCGTCAACTCGTGAAAGTGCGTCGCAAAC